ATCTATGGCTGCTTTCATGTCACAGCAGCAGAGCTGAGCACTGTAGTTGGGACAGAGACAATAAGGCCCCCAAACCCTAAAATATTAACCATCTGACCTTTTACAGTAAAAAGCTGACCAACCACTGTGACAGGTCATTTCCTCTGATTTATCTTCCAGTTCAGTAACTGCCTTCTGTTGTATCTAATCTACTGCTAAATCCTATTGCGTTTTGCCCTGGCCGGTGGCTCAGTTCATTTGAGTGTTGTCCCATACACCAAAGGGTTGCAGGTTGGATTCCCAGTCAGGGTATATACCCAGGTTGTGGGTTCAGTCCCTGGTAGGGGTGCATATTGGAGGCAACTGATAAATGCTTCTTTGTCACATCAGTGTCTCTCTCTCTCTCTCCCTCCCCCCCTACCTCTCTCTCTAAAAAAAGAAATCAATAGGATTAAAAATAATAATAATTAATAAATAAATCCTACTGAGTTAATTCTGGTTACTGTGGTTTTCAACTTAGAAGTTCTTTCAAATCTAATATTTTACTTTTTATAGTTCCGTATTCCACGTATATAGCTTAATCTTGTCTTTTATTTTTTAACTATAGTACATACAGTACAATTATAGTAACTATAACTGCTTTATAAACTGTGTCTGGTAATCCCAATGTCCTCAGTCTTTGGGAGTCCCTCTCTGCTGTCTGTTATCTTTCCTGGTTCTCACTAATGGAGCCTGATTTCCTTGTGTGCTAGTTATTTTTTACTGTCAGCGGCTCATTTCGTTGAAAAGTTATCAGTGAGGAATTCATGTCTTTTCCCAGAAAGGTTTTGCGTTTGCTTTTGCCAGGATTTGGAGGCACTGCCAGTCTGAAACACCTTAAACTTAGAGTTCATGGATCACCTGAGTGATGAGAACTGGCTGTGAATGCCGCGTGTTTCGGTTCCTTTGCCTTACTGCCCTGATCCTCTCGGTGCTCTGGCGACCTTCCCTGCTGTCCTGGTTTGGGTGTGCAGGCTTAGTTCTAGGTCATCCTTATGTTCAGTCTTTTGGGATTCCAATTTAATGTAGAATGGACCAAAGATGGACATATGCAATATAACCGACCTGGAGGCTAGAATGAGAAGGTCTAACATTTCATCAGTGTTTCAAAAGAGGAGTTGAGAGAAAGTGAGGCAGAGGCAATATTTAAAGAGAAATGGCTGAAAATTTTTTCAGGACATATAAATTCTTATACCTAAGAAGCTAAATAAATCCAATCAAAATAAATGAAAGCAAATTCTTACATTTGCATACTTATTCATACTTTATAGAACCCTTTCTTTTATTCTTCATAAAACCTTAGCACTAGGTACTGTTATTTACACTTTTCATAAGGCAAAACTGGGATCAGACATCAAAAGTGAATTATTTAAGGTCCTTTAAATTAGCAGCAGGGGCAAAAGTCAAATTCAGTTCTGACCCAAGTTCAACTCATTTCCTATACTAGTACATTAGAAACAACACAGCAGAGAAGAATTTGTAAGGGTAGATCTGAATATCGCTAAGGAACTATCCCTCAAAAACAGAACCCCCCCCCCGCCCCCCGCCCCTGCCCTAACCGGTTTGGCTCAGTGGATAGAGCGTCAGCCTGCGGACTGAAAGGTCCCAGGTTCGATTCCGGTCAAGGGCATGTACCTTGGTTGCAGGCACATCCCCATTAGGAGGTGTGCAGGAGGCAGCTGATGGATGTTTCTCTCTCATCGATGCTTCTAACTCTCTATCCCTCTTCCTTTCTCTCTGTAAAATATCAATAAAATATATTTTAAACAAACAAACAAAAAACAAAAAACAGAACCCCTAACTTGGAAACTTCTCCCTGGAAGCACATAAAAACCTTTCCCACCTAACTGCGCTTTCTTCTGCAGGCAGCACTGGGCTGAGAAAGCCTTAGTAGTAAGAAAGGAAAGTCTATCTTGTACATTAAATTGTGAGTTAAATCAAACGAAGCCAAGCTGACTCAAAGGGTTTGTGGAACCAGCCTGATACACAACAGAAAGCTACATGCAGCCTACTGTATACCATCCAACGGTCAGGACAGCAGGGCACGGTGTCCCCCTAACCGCCTCCCCCCCGCCTGCCTTGTACTCTTGAAGGCAGTTTAAATACTGTAGTTAATGTATCCCACATTGCATGTCTTTTGTTCATCAGGAGTAATTACTACATCTTCCATTCTGGTGGCATTTCACTGGCTTATTAGCTTACACTTGATTTGTTTTTTGGCCCAGAGCACTAAATTAAGGCTTTTTTTAAAGTGAAGACTGACCTAGCCAGTGGCTCAGTGGGTAGAGCATCGAACCCTACAGTCCACGGGTTCTATTCCAGTCAAGGGCACATACCTCGGTTGCAGGCTCAATCCCTGGTCCTGGTAGGGGTGTGTGCAGGAGGCAACCAATCGATGTGTCTCTTTCACATTGATGTTTCTCTCTCTCTCTGTAGCTCCCCCTCCCTTCACTCTCTCTCTAAAAAAAAAAGGAAAAATATCCTTGGGTGAGGATTAACAAAAAATTGAAATAATAAAATAAAAAAGGGAAGACTGTGGCTTAATGAAGCCCCATTCCCCAGGGTGTTGCACGTAGCTGATGTCTCTATTAGCTTGGTATAAAGAGCAGACCATTCTTCCCTCATGGCTGCCTACACGACGTATAAAAGCTGGGAGAATGACAACTCCTGAACTCACAGTACGAGGCACCAGAGCCAAGAAGCCAGATGCCAGGAAAAGAGGGCCAGATGCCAGACAATTCAGTGGGAAAGCCAAAGAGCCCCAGATTTGACGTGTTGTGGCAGGTGTGGTCAAGGCCTCATGCAAGAGAGGAACAGGAGACACAGTCTGATCTTCCGTGTCTGTCTCATACAGGAAGGGGCCACAGGTATACTCAGGTGAGTAACAACAGAGAAAAGCCACCGGCAGTGTTGCAACCATGTATTGCACATCAACCACGTGAGAGGTCCTGTGCAGGGCATGGACACACATGGCGGACAGAGCCTGACTTCAGGGCTTCCTGATCTCGTCATGCACCTGTCACCCATCCTCGAAGCCAAGTGTACAGTGCTTACTGAGCACGTAGTGAACATATGCCAGTACTGTCTAGGCGCTAGGGAGACCAAGAAGGCAAGAACAGGGGAGGATCTGGAAGGATTAGACACCAGTTACCCTGAAAGCCACTATGAATCAATTCATTTCAATGAAATCCTCATATGACAGAAGAAACCAGAGTCAGAGTGGTAAAGTAGCTTGTCCCAAATCACAAGGAGAGTAAATGGCAGTCTGGGATTTGAATGAAGCTTTGCCTGGCTCTGAGCCTGTGCTCTTAATAAAATAATAATCATTCCACAGTTAATTAAGTATAATGAGATCATTGGTGACAGAGGTAGAAAATTTACAGGAAACATGGAGAAAGAGATAATCCTATCTAATAATAGACAAACATGGTAATTAACCATACCTCCGACATGCTTCCCATTGGCTAATCAGGGCGACATGCAAATTAACTGCCAACCAAGATGGCGGCCGGCAGCCAGGCAGCTGAAGCGAACAGGAGGCTTGCTTGCTCCAGTGATGGAGGAAGCCAAGGTTCCCTGCCTGCCGCTGCCGGCCTCTGAGCTGCACTCTAAGAAACAATGTTGCAATTATAGAAGCTAAACAAACCCCAGAAACCTGCTTTCGGCCTCGGAGCTGGAGCTGCAACAGTGTTTCAATTATAGAAGCCAAACAAACCCAGATACCTGCTTTCAGCAGCCGAGGTCTCAGAGCTGGAGCCGAGCCTAAGAGCTAAAGCCGGCTCTCAGTTCCAGTAACAGCCAAAGAAGGTAAATAAATCCCAGAATAAAGAAAAAAAGGAGAGGTTGGGAGCTTCAGTCACCTGCCAGCCTGAAAACGGCCCTCAGCCCCTCACCCAGACTGGTCAGGCACCCTAGTGGGGACCCCCACCCTGAAGGGGGTGTGACCAGCTGCAAACAGCCATCATCCCCTCATCCAGCCTGGCCAGGCACCCAAGCGGGACCCCCACCCTGATCCGGGACACCCTTCAGGGCAAACCAGCCGGCCCCAACCCGTGCACCAGGCCTCTATCCTATATAGTAAAAGGGTAATATGCAAACTGACCCTAACAGCAGAAGGACTGGGAATGACTGGTCACTATGACACACAATGACCACCAGGGGGCAGACGCTCAATGCAGGAGCTGCCCTCTGGTGGTCAGGGTGCTCTCACATGGGAGGAGCTCTGCTCAGCCACAAGCCAGGCTGACGGCTGCCAGTACAGCGGTGGTGGTGGGAGCCTCTCCTGCCTCCTCAGCAGCGCTAAGGATGCCTGACTGCAGTTTAGGCCTGCTCCCCGCTGGCAAGTGGACATCCCCCGAGGGCTGCCGGGCTGCCAGAGGGATGTCTGATTGCCAGCTTAGGCCCAACCCCCGGGGGAGTGGGCCTAAGCCAGCAGGTAGTCATCCCCTGAGGGGTCCCAGACTGCGAGAGGGCACATGCCGGGCTGAGGGACACCCCCCCCCTCCGGAGTGCACAAATTTTTGTGCACCGGGCCTCTAGTTTTATATAAAAAGGAGGTCGTCTTTGAGTTTTCCTAGTGGACAAGCAAGGAAGGAAAATTTGAGGCACAGATAACAAACATATGCAAAGGCATTGGAAAACGGAGGGTATACCTGTGGGAGAACAATAGGAGGAAGACAGGGGCTTGATCACGGCACGCTTTGCAGACCAGGCTGCAGAGCATCTTTGAGACGCCACTGACTCCTGCTGCAACCCAATCACCCTCCAGTCTGGGAGCAGAAGCCTTTCTGGGGGCCTCCTTGTCCCTCAAACTCCTTGCAGTGGCTGCCTGTGCCAGCCAAATCTAAGGTCTCATGGACACCCACAATCCCATCCTCTGCAGGCCCCTGCAGACTCTAACGTACTCCAAAATTCTGCTGACAGACTGAGGACAGAGGCCCCTGGGAACCCAACAACCACAGGCGTTTTCTCATTCTACTCACAGTTTAGAGTCCAGCTTCAGGAGGAAGCCCAACCGATCATACTCTGAAAAAGAAAAGAAAGCAGAAAATGTCACCTAAGGCAGGCCCCTGCTGACACTAGCAGGCTGCATCCCCCGGACCTAGACCACGGGGACAGACAAGTGCTCCCGAGAACAGATCAAATACACAGCCACAACTAAATTTACGTCACAGAACCCTTACTGACCACCTGTTTTGTGAAGGACCAGGTTCAAGCCAGATATTTACCAGGACGTCTAGGCTGACCAGTCCTCTGCTGGTTTATAACTGCCTTCCTGTTTAAATGTAGGGCTCGAAACTTAAATTTAGAAAACCACAAAACCGGACCCCTGGAAAAGTTGGGGGGGTCAGAAGTAATTCTTGCTTCCTCTAAGCTCTAAGCACAATTTTTGCTCAATCAGCACATTAACTATGGGGAGAAGATGTGGCGGCCAAGGGGTTCTCAAACCCATGTCAATGATTCTCTTCATAACAATCACAAAGAACGGATAGATCTGCCCTGGCTAGTGTGGCTCAGCTGGCTGGGCGTCGTCCCATGCACTGAAAGGTTGCTGGTTCGATTCCCAGTCAGTCTGGGTTGTGGGTTCAATCCCCAATAGGGGGTGGGCAGGAAGCAGCTAACAGGTGTTTCACTCTCACACTGATGTTTCTTCCTCTCTAAAAATAAGTTTAAAAATCAATAAAAAAGAATTGATATATCTGATTACATAAGAAATAGGAAATTTAAAATAAAGTCCAAAAACAAATTGATAAGATATAAGAAATGATAAATTAATATTTTATTTAATTCTTTATGTCTTGCCTCATTTGAAAATGAAGTTGAAGTAGCTTTTAAAAAAAACAACTGTATGAAGTACAGGTTTTGAAAAGAATAAATAAGGGAACCAAAACATAAATAAGCATAGGAAAAATAATAAAATGCAGCCAGGACAAAAATACCCAAAGTGGATGTGCTAAGGTCCTCTGTGCTTGCCAGAGGAGGATTAAAGATCTGTTCCCCCAGATTTCTCACAGCTAAAACGAAATGCAAAGAATTGATATAAATGGTTTACAGTGTCCACAAATAAACCTGGAGAATCAGTTACTCCTGATACTAAGACTTGAAGGAATCCCGCTGTGTCCCCAAAAATATTTGTAGACAGAAAATACAAGCAGTGTCACAGAACTGTTTCTTATAACTTTGTTCAATGATTGCACTGTGTGTGTGTGTATGTGTGTGTGTGTGTGTGTATAGAATGGCTTCACTAAAATAAAGGTTCTATGAATGCAGTTCTCAGCTGGCCTAGCTTCATATGAGGATAAAACAGAACACTTAAGACCAAACAACCACATGGAAAAGACCAGGCAGCAAGGCCTCCGAGGAACTCAGACTGCGGTAAGCAATGAATGACCAAGACAGGAAAGTCCCACATACTGGCAAGTCCCTCCCCGGAGTCATTCTGCAACCCTGGTTAGGGCCACACTTGTGCGCTTTCAGAAGCAGCTAAGCTGTGGTGAGAGAATAATTCCTCTTCTTAAAACTGAAGATACCGACTAGGACACATAACTCAACAGAAGGCCTGCCTCCCAAGAGCACAGACTTGGGCAAATGAAATCCTTTCCTCAAAATAATTCTGGTTTTGCTCTAAATCAGATAAATGGATTAGAGGCTTAGCTCAATAATAATCAGAAATTAAACTGAACTAAAAACAGAAGAAGGTTTCAATTGAAAAACTAAACTAAAAACAAAATTTGCAAAAAGTTAGTTTCCAAAGTTTAACAGTCTCAACAATCCTGTTGTATCATTCCCTGGAAAAGAAAACCTCATTAACTTGCCAAACACCTGTTGCTTTTCCCCTAGGTAGTCATAACCTTGTGGCAACTGTCCTGCTATTGTTCCTCAGACCCGAGCGTTGACTCCCTTGGACCCGCTGGATGTAGGATGAATCCACATTTCGGCTGATTCCTTCCAGAAAGGCCAGAGAATGTTTTCTCTCTGTTGCAAACTCAAATGTCAGGGGCCAAGGAAAAACATGAGATAAACAAGGGAAGCTGAAGAATGTAATACCATCCCATAGCAGCTCACATTATTTATTTTGGTTGCATTAAAAACAAATTGTTGAAATGTCTTATTTTTAACCACATATTTTCTGTATGGTAATCATATCGGTGGTTTAGTTTGCCATGGCATCTTAAGTTGTGTTTTACACACACACACACACACACACACACAATTAATTGCAAAGTGTTCTTACGTGTTTAATATGCATTCTTAAAGAAATTATGACCCCTCCTGTTTTCTCTCTTTTGTTAAGAGACATGATGACCAGAAATATTTCATTTATTCTTTAAGAAAAGGTATCTGTGTGGCTCAATGATGATAAATGGGAACTGACACTGGCTTCAGCCAAGATGGAAGGGCGTCCATCTGGAGACCGCACGTCTTGTCTAAGGGGCAGCCTCCGCCAGCTCCAGCTAACAGCAAACTGTGCCAGGCAGCGATGCGGGCCCAGCAATGCCACATCTTCTGATTTTTTCAAAGCCAAGAATCTGGATCTTTTAAGATAAAATCTCTCTGTTTGTAAACATTGGCAACAGATGTGAGGGGAATTGAAAAGATTACGAGGCTGAGAATATGTGCATGGGCAGAACACAGCCAGCAGGCTAACGACTGACAAACTCTGTCCTAGGCGGGCAGCTCACCAGGGCTGGAAGCACTTCTCTTTTGTGGCTGCACACAGTACCTGGTCAGCAAATATTTGTTGACTGTTATCAGGATTATTTGGTCACAGTGTTTATAAAACAAAATCCAATTAGTCTACCCAAATGCCAAAAAGAAAAGTTTCAGCCAAGCCTCTAGAACGGTAAGTTTCAGACACTACGGTAGGGTGCTAGACTAAGATGCAAATTTTCAAAGGAAATATCTGAATACTTGTTATACAATTCCAAAGGCCCTCCCCACATCAAGTATAAGAGTAACTGGTTGTGAGGTTAAGGGAGAAAGGATTTGAAGACTTTCTTTGGAGAGCGCAGTATTATGAACACCATCTCTCTTAAGGGGCAGAATGGGTGGTACATACATGTGTCAGCCAAGCCTGGTGAGGGAAGCAGAGCATAACCACTGAAGAAAGGGGACACCACGGACTGCCAGCTGCCTGGCTTCTACCTGACAAGTGTAAAGGCCACGAGACAGCTGACTGAGAAGGAGCGAGCTGCACTGGAACTGGCTGCACTGCCAGAATTGGCTGCAGAAGAGGATGCATGAATGAGCTAGTGGGATTGTTTTAGGTCCTTTTCAAAAGGTCTGCCCAGTGGGTTGACAGGTCTTCAGTAACAGGGGAAGACACAGGGAGTCCCAGGAGCTGCAGAAGGAGTGAGTGAAAGGCTTTGGTGCATGCATTACCCACATCGGGAACTGCAGAGGGGAGGTCCCAACTTGGAGGGGGGTCTCCAAAATGCCTGCAAGAACATCCCACAGGAAAGCCAGTTCAGAGAGTGCCAACACTACCTTATGTCTTTTCTGCTCACAGTCTCCTTCCCTTCCCCACCAATTCCAAAGAGGCCAGAAACAGTAGCCAGCAATGGGGGCGGAGAAAGACAAGCAGAGTACACCCTTTTCCGGGGTCAGGCACCACTGGTACTAAGCCAGTGATGGCGAACCTATGACACGCGTGTCAGAGGTGACACGTGAACTCATTTTTTTGGTTGAGTTTTCTTAAATGGCATTTAAATATATAAAATAAATATGAAAAATATAAGTCTTTGTTTTACTATGGTTGCAAATATCAAAACATTTCTATATGTGACATGGCACCAGAGTTAAGTTAGGGTTTTTCAAAATGCTGGCCATCACTGTACTAAGCCCTAATGCGAGGAGGGGAAGTTACTATAACTGAATAAATTGAAAGCTCTATTACAAACGTCTGGATACACTAATTTTGGACTTGGTGACTCAATGTGGCCATGGGATTCTTATTACCTCAAAGGTAACAAAAATTCTCTGGACTTCCTACACTGAAAGCAGTTTAAGGGGACAGATGGAGACAAAGTGAAGTTGCCTGTGCTTTATCCCCGAACGCTTCCACATTCAATAAACTAGTAGTGGTTGCATTAACTTAGGCAAATAGGACATTTAATGGTTCATACAGCCAAAGTGTGGGCAGGGCCCGGTGCAGGGGCCCGGGGATGACTAAGAGCGACTAGAACACTGTTGCCAGGATTTATTCTGTCTGTTCCTTCCCAGAGGTTCTTTCCCCGACTTCCAGTTGTTTCCTCACACAGATGCACTGATCAGCTGAGCCCTTAAATTCCAGTTTGGAATTATACATTTCTCAGACTCTGACTCGTGTTTCTCCTCCAGGGGACTAGAAGGTCTACTGAGGCATCATCACTACACTGCGCTTGCCGTGTTAAAGGAATGGTGAATGAACACCTTCTCTGTTAGGCCAAGAGCCCCGTATCCGTGCCCATCACCAAATGTTTAGAACTTAATGCAGTTCTGCCATTAGTTGCTCATGAGTCTGTAGTGCACATCTATTGTTTATGCCCTCTTTTTAGAAATAAGCCCCTTAAATTTCTTTCAGGGAACGGCTCTTCTATCATTGCTGGCAAGTGGTGAGACTGTCCCTGAGTTTCCCTACTCAAAGCGTAGATGCTTGGCAAACGCTAGGTTGGTTGGACTCTTTCCTTTTTTTTTTTTTTTTTAAATTTTTTAAATATATTTTATTGAATTTTTAGAGAGAGGAAGGGAGAGAGATAGAGAGTTAGAAACATCGATGAGAGAGAAACATCGATCAGCCGCCTCCTGCACATCTCCCACTGGGGATGTGCCCGCAACCAAGATACATGCCCTTGACCGGAATCGAACCTGGGACCTTTCAGTCGCAGGCTGACGCTCTATCCACTGAGCCAAACCGGTTTCGGCGGTTGGACTCTTTCTTAAGCTGAGTGACACCAGGGAGAAAACAGTGGGCTGAAGAGATGGACCATTCGTTGCCATCTAGATTCCTGGCACTGCCCTTCATGTCCTTCCTGAGGGCCAGCTGT